CTCTCTTACACATCATCAATTTCTTATTCTCTGATGGGTCATTCTGATTAGTATATTGGCATGTTGTAATTGCTCTCCCTAAAAACAAATTTTAAGGTATTTGATTCTACTACTACTAGCCACCACTCTATTTCTGTGTTCCCCTCTGCAGGAATAGTTCCCAAAATTGGGCTTTTATCTCTCTAATTCTGCTCCCCACTTTGTCTCTTACCCACTCCAGTCAGGGTCTGCCCCTGTGATTAGGGGATGAGGACCAAAACTGTCCTCATCCAAGTCACAGTGACTTTCACATTGCCAAATCCAGTGGTCAGCTTTGAGTCTTCATTTTACCTGACCTTTCAGCAGCAAAGTTGATCTTTCCTCCTTGATACACTTCACCAAACTTCCAGACTCCACAGTCCTCTTCCTACCTTGCTTGCTTGCCCTTTTGCAGTCTTTTCAGAGCTACAGACTAGTATATCTAACTACATACTCAACATTTCCACTTAGATGTCTCATAGACGTAAGCAAATTCATGTGTCCAAAACCTAAAACTCCAAATCTTACCCCCCAAAATAATTTATTCTACCCTACAGCCTTCCCCTTCACAGTTGATGGAACACCACCCTTCCATAACTTCTTGTTCTCACTTCTCCAGTGGTGTCATCAGCTAATCTTGTTGTTCTGCCTTCAAATATATGCAGAATGAGGATGTCTTTTTACCACCTGCTCCAAGCCACCACCATTTCTTGCCTAGATACTGCAATAGCTTCCTGTTTTCCTTGGTTTCCCTGTTTTTTTCCCTTGCCCTACAATCTTTTCTCAACTCAGTAGCCAGAGAGTAATCCTATTAATTGTAAGGTTATATCAAGATTTCTCAACTTTGACACTACAGACATTTTATTAGGCCCAATAATTTTTGTTATAGGGAATTGTCTGCTGTGTTGTAGGGTATTGAGCAGCATCTCTGACCGTTCTACCTGCTAGATTCTGGTAGTATCTGCCCCCAGTTGTGACAGCCAAAAATGTCTCCAGATACTGCCAAATGCCCTTTAGCGGGACAAAGTCACCTCTGGCTGGGCACCAGTGGCTTATATCACCCTTCTGCCCAAAACTTTGTGATTGTTTTCCCTTTCACTGAGAGTAAATACTGAAGTCCATGTATTTAATAGCTCATACGGCCCTACCTGACCTGGCCACTCCCTTTAACTCTTTGACCTTACCTGCTTCTACCCTTCCTTCTTACACTGAACCAGTTGCACTGACTTCCTACTAAAGCTACTTATATCTATTAGAGGCTTTGTTCTGTTTTCTCTGCCCAGAACACACTTCCAGATTTCTCCATGGCTAATTCCTTCAGTTCTGCTCAAATTTCATTTTGCCAATAAGGCGTATCCTAGTCACTCTATCTTATCTGCAATCTGTCCTACTCCCACGATACTTCTGGTCTCACTTACCTGTTTTCCCCCCCATAATATTTATCACCTTGCAAAATTATATAAATGATTTACTTCTGTTTTTGTGTTTATCATCCCTATTAGTGTATGTGACCCTACGAAGACATTACTCACATTAGTTTCTTGCCTTAATTATTACCAATGTCTTTGTTGTGGTCAAAAACAAATTATTTTTTAGGGGTGCCTGGTCAGTTAAGCATCCAGCTCTTGATTTTGGCTCAGGTCACGATCTCCCAGTTTGTGAGATCGAGCCCTGCTGTCAGTGCGGAGCCTGCTTGGGATTCTGTCTCTCTCGCGCTCTCTCCCCCTCCCCCTGCTCAAGCTCTCTCTCAAAATAAAAATAAATAAACTTTAAAAAATACTTTTAAAATGAATGGAGAAGGTAAAGTTAGAGCTAGATATGGAAGGATGGATGGGATTTGTGTAGTTATAGATTAAGGGGAAGCAAAGAGTAGAAGAAAGATGGCACAAACAAAAGTCCAAGATACAGAAATGTATAGGTCTGTATGAAGATAGGTTTTTAGTATACCAGCCTGACTGGAGTTAAGGGTTCAGGATTTGGTGTAGAAGAAAAATACATGTAGGAAGGTAGGTTGGAGCAAGACTGAACACAGTGTCAGAGAATATGGACTGTAATCCTATCAACAATGGGAGTCATTTAATATTTGTGAGTTGGAGAGTTGATAATGGTGAAAGTAGTGTATTGCAACAGACACTGGTTTGGCTTATTCAAAATCCACTCCAGGGGCGCCTGGGTGGCGCAGTCGGTTAAGCGTCCGACTTCAACCAGGTCACGATCTCACGGTCCGTGAGTTCGAGCCCTGCGTCGGGCTCTGGGCTGATGGCTCGGAGCCTGGAGCCTGTTTCCGATTCTGTGTCTCCCTCTCTCTCTGCCCCTCCCCCGTTCATGCTCTGTCTCTCTCTGTCCCAAAAATAAATAAACGTTGAAAAAAAAAATTAAAAAAAAAAAA